ATTCATTCTCCGGGGCCCATCGGCGATGCATCGTCGATTCCAGGTCGATGCATCCCCCCCACGAGCCCATCCCCTCCGCACGCTGCCCCTCACCCGCCCGTCGGGAGCGACGGCGGCAGCGACGGCGGCGATGGTGGTCACAACGAACTGCTACACTCGACGACGGCATCGACGGCGACTTCGACTGCAGCCTTGACAATGACTTCGGTGGCGGCGGCGGCGGCGGCAGGTCCTTTGATCGAGATATTGTTGCTATGCAGTGCGGGCGCCGCCGCAACAGCCCTCCCACCCCGCAAGGGACCGAACCCTGAATATCCGCGCACCAGGTGCACCTATGGGGACATCCAGGAATCCCCGAAGGCAGCAGTGTCTGGACGCCAGCGGAGAGTCGCCACGCAGAGCGCACAGCGAGTAAACCCGAGGAGTGGTTTCTTGATACGCTTCCCCACTGTAAGAGATCAGAAGTCGGAAGAGTTGAGATGAGTGGTTGAACGTAAAAAATATGCGCCTCCAAGGGACACAGGTTCCGATCTCGATGACGGCGACGGAGAGTGAGAGAGAGAGAGAGATGTGGAGAGGGATGGCACAGGTGAACGTGGTGGGAGCAGGAGGGGGTGTTGGGGTTGGGAGAAGGAAGCAGGGGAGCAGGAGGGGAGAAAAGGAGGAGGAGGAGAAAGAGGAGGAGGAGGAGGAGGAGGAGGAGTCCAGGCCTCCCAAATGGGGCCGGATGATCGCGCCGCATCGCAAGTGGCCGACCCCCGACCAGATAGCATGAAAAGTAGGGAACATTGAAAAATAAGATATCAATCAACGTGTTTGGCATGTCGAGGGTCTCGTTGAGAGCGTTTTGGGAGATTTGGGAGCCTTTGGAGGATTCTTGGGATCTGTTTGGTGCCTCGTTAGGCAATGCTGGGCCATCTTCGCGGCCTTGGAAGCGTCTGGGCGCCCCTGAGAGCGCTTGGGAGCGCCTGGGAGCGCCTGAAAGCGCCTGCAGAGCGCCTGGGAAGCGCCGGAGCTTGGGAGCGCCTGGGAGCTCGGGGCTCAACAGACGGGGGTCAATGAAAACGGGGGTCAGCCAGGGCACCGGATCCTGCAGGATCCTGCAAAGACCCCCCCTGGCTGACCCGGGTCAGCGAGCCGCTCGTGGCCGCGAGGCGGCCGCGCATATTGGCTGGCCCGGGTTTGCGAAGACCTGCGCTGCAGTGTTTTGTTCCTGCATCGCAGTGTTTGGGTTCCTGCTGACCCGGGTTTGGATTGACCCGGGTCAGAAGATCCCCGATTCAGGGGTGGGCAAAACCCCCACCTTGACACGTCGATTAGTGACTTGTCCGTTTTCGGTTCTCGAGAGGGCGCCGCAGCCGTCAGAAGATCCCCGGGTTTGGATCGACCCGGGTCAGAAAATCCCCGAGGAGCGCTCGGGGGTGCTTCTCTTCCGCGGCGGAAGGGCGGCGGAGGCCGGCGGAGGGAGAACGAGGCGGCCCCCGCTGGCGGAGGCTGGCCCGACTGGAGGATCGATTCTCGGAGACCTCCTCCTCCTCCTCCTCCTCCTCCTCCTCCTCCTCCTCCTCCTCCTCCTCCTCCTCGACAGGAGGTGGATATGGGTGTAGTCGGCCCCCTTGGCACCCAAGCATGCCCATATCCACCGCCCGCTGGGGTCCCAGGACGTCGGTTCCACAGGCGGTGGATGTGGATGTATTCGCGCCTCGCACGGGAGGGCGAAGGCCCGCAGAAGCCGGCGGAAGTGGAAGGTGCGCCCCCCGAGAGGCGACAACATTTTGATGATCCATAAACTCGTTTATGCTGCAGGAGAACCATGAGGAGCAGCCCCACGTGTGTTCGCCTCCACTCCTCAATTCCTGCACGCTCAATGCCTGCGCAGCGGGCTGCGGTGTCGGCGGCCGGCGGTTTTCTGCGCGAAGCGGCGGAAGTATGCTCACCTTGCTCTGTTCGTGTGTACTCTGGTGCGGTCTCGCATGGCGGTTCGCCCGCGCTGCTCGGGTCTCGTCTGCTGGGCCGATCGTGTCTCGCAGTTCTTCTGTTGTTGCTCCCGCGCGTTGGCTCCTTGAAGCCAGATCGAGAATGCTCCCTGATAGGAGCAGCGGCCAAAAAACTCGCTGACAGGGGCTGCACAAACAAGACAGGCTCCCTGATAGGAGCGGCGCCTCCGAAACTCCCTGAAAGGAGCTGCGCCTGCGTGCTCCCTGATAGGAGCTAGCGGTGCCTAGCGTTCCCTGAAAGGAGCTGCGCCTGCGTGCTCCCCGACAGGAGCGGCGCCCTAGAGCTCCCTTTTTTGCGCGTTCCCTCTGACAGGAGCAGCGGCCGAAAACTCCTTGACGGGAGCGGCGCCTCAAAGCTCCCTGATAGGAGCGGCGCTTCAAAGCTCCCTGACAGGAGCGGCGCCCCAAAACAGAAGTTCGCCGAAGGGGGCGGCGCCCAATGCTCCCTGAAAGGAGCTGCGCCTGTGTGCTCCTCGACAGGAGCGCTGCCCCCCAGAGCTCCTTTCTGTGCTCCCTGACAGGAGCAGCACCCCCAAGCTCCCTGAAAGGAGCTGCGCCTGCGTGCTCCCAGACAGGAGCGGCGCCCCCGAAACTCTCTAGCAGGAGTCGCGCCTGCGTGCCTCCTGGGGCGGTTCCGTGGCGCTGCGCCAGCGCGCTCCCCAGCAACAGACACATTTTGCGGCGATCGTCTTTGCCACTCGGGATGGACAAATCTGTCTGTGAAGTTTTTGTTTTTGCATGCGACCGGGAGGTCGCGAACGGCAAGGCTAGAACGCGTCCGCTGAACATAGAAACTTGTGCTTTAACGCCGAGATTCCCACTCGTGCAAGGTTGGAAGACCGTAGGCTGGGAAACGTTTCCCAAAGTTAGATGCATCGATGATTTCTCTGCGCCGCGCATCAACGAAGGCACGCAAGTATCCGAGAAGATGCTTCCCCACACGCTAGACTCACTTGTAGCGCTGGTGTTGAAGATCACGAAATCAAGAACAATGCGCATTCGTTGGCACAGAGATGATTTTGCGCAAGCCTTCAAAACACTACCAATATGCAGCTCTCACCTTCCATTGGCAGTTGTCGTGTGGCCAGAGGCGTTGGCTAAAGACCAGCGTCTCCAGCTCCTGGCAATGCCCTTTGGCTCTTCCGCCTCTGCGCCCGCCTGGGAGCGGTTCGGTTTGGCAATTCAGGGCGTGTTTGCGCAGATTTTCCTAGTGCTATACCTTCGCTTTGTCGACGATCTGTTTTCGGGCGACGTGATGGAAGAGCCAATAGATGTTGGCGGAGACCCTCTGGCGGGCCCTGCTGGCACTGCCAAGCTGGCCAGGTACGTAATTTCAGATCTTCTCGGCTGGGATTTGGATGCCGCCAAGGCTGTCGCAGAGCAGTCATCGGCCACGATTCTCGGCGTCGGCGTTCGTTTTGATGACGCCCGGCAAGAGGTAGTTTTTGACGTGGGTCCGGAGAAGCTCGAGTTGTGGAGCACCCAAATCGTCAGGGCCCTCAAGGCGGGCGCGTTGCCGCCGGCAGAAGCGCAGAAGCTGGCCCTGCGTTTGAGTTGGGGTGCTAGCTTAGTTTTTGGCAAGGGGGCGCGTGCTCCGCTGGCAGCCTTGTTCTTTCATGGCGCAGGCCGCGCCGGCCGTCTCACTGCGAGGACGAGGCTCGCGCTCACATGGTGGCATAAGTTTTTGCAATCGCCACCCTCGCGGCGTGCGCCGCTGCAACT